TTTGCATTTTGATCTCCAGCGGCTTTATTAAATCCTAAACAATATTTCACCACATTCCCTCGCACCAGGTTTTATACCAGACCCCAAAATGCACCCCTCCTCTGCATCAAGATGTGAGTGACATTACTGTCCCCCCAACCCAATCCTTCATGTTCCTATTCCTGCCAGCCCCCTGTCTACCCAGTAGATCTATTTCCCCTTCCCAGGGAAATTCATGTGTCCCCGTCCCTCTTTGGGCTCTCCTTGTTACCTAGCCTCTTTGGGGCTGTGGATTGGAGATGGTTCCCACTTTTAAGCAGACCGTCATTAAAATCCTCAGAGCAGACATTTCCGGTTCCCTGTTTCCTGTCAGGATTCAGATACATGGTCAAGATTAATTTCAGCCAGAAAAAAAAAAAAAGGCTTCTACAAAGAAAAATACATCTAACAATATGCAAACGCAGTGAAGATAGCTGGTACGCAGCCGTGCTTAAGTAATAAGAACCAAGAGGAAGCCCATACACGTTTGGTATGTTTAGAAAATATTTTCCATCTGAGCTTGGTGGAATCTACAGGGTGTGAGATTTGTGGAATGGAGGGGCTAGCAGCTGTGGCTTTCATCATGGTGTGACCAAGACCAACTGGCAGGAGATGGTGACTAGGAGCAAGGTGAGAGAAAGCTTCTCTGAGAATTGCAACAGTTTCCCCGGGGCACCAGACAGGACTAATGATGAGAAGTACGTATTTGTCCTCCCCATCCAGGTCACATCCAGGGCTTGCACAGACAGACGCCTTTCCTTCAGAGCTCAGATCCAGCGTTGTTCCCGAGTCTTACTGCTTTCCAGGAAGGAGTTACTATGAAGCATTTCCCAAACTGTATGTCCACCGCATCACTTTCCTAGCGAGCAGCCTTGCTTGTCTCTCCACTTCACAGAGTCCACACGTGTGGGCTCTATCAAGCACAGGAGGAAAGTATTGTTTACATGCCAAATGTATATGGATTTTGATGTCACTATTCCTTAAACTGTGTGGCATAGCAACTATTGAAACTGTTCTCACAGACCACTCCACACTATGTACTCTAGAGATGACAAAGTACACAGGAGTGTGTGCAGGAGTTACACAGAGTGCCATTCAATAAAGGACTCAAGTGAGCATGGACTTTATTATCTGCTGGAGTCCTAAAGCCAATCCTCCAGGGATCCTGATGTACAGGACTATAAACTCAAGAGTCCTGAAGCCATATTATTTTAAAACTCTTTCATTGTCTATGGTCATTGGGCCTAGCCCCGAGTTACCAGAAGATGCTCTCACATGGCATATACATTGTATGCTCACATTGCCCCATCCACACCCTACACTCCTCTCTTTTATCCTTCCCCTTCTTTTTATGAATGGCATTGGCATTTAGGTAGGGAGTGAATCTGCAGACTGCTTCCAGTAGGATAGATGTTCTCACAGTATTAATTCATCCAGTCCAAGAATGTGGAAGACTTCCTATCTTCTGATTGAAGATCTTCTATTTCTCTCCTCAGTGTTGTGGTGTGTTCATTGCAGAGTTCTTTTACTAACTCCATTAGGTTTATTCTAAGGTAATTTTTAGGGGATTGTGAATAAAGTTGTTTCCCTGATTTCTTTCTCAGTATGTTTGTTATTTGTATGTAAGAAAGCTACTGATTTGTTGTGTCAAATATGTGCCCTGCCACTTTGCTCAAGGTGCTTATCAAATCTAAGAATTTCTGGGATGGGCAAAAGAGACAGATCAGTTGATAAAATGTTTGGCTTGCAAGCATGATAATTTGAGTTTGATCTCCAGAATCCTTCTTTTAAAAAGAGGGATCAGGGAGGGTATGGAGGCACCCTTGTTATCCAGCACTGGGGAGGCAGAGACAGGCATATCTCCAGGGCTTGCTGGTCAACCAGCCCACCCTAGCTGGTAAGTTCCAGGCCAATGAAAGACTCTGCCACCAGCATATTTTGAACCGTCCATGCATCTCTAGAATGAAGCTAATTTGATCCAGTAAATGATCTTTCTGATACGTCCTTAAATTTGATTTGCAAGTATTTTATTGGGAAAATTTACACCTATTCTCATCAAAGATATAAATCTGTAATTTATTTCTTGTGTCTTCATCTAGTTTTAGTTACAAAGAAATCCTAATAATTTTCTGAATTTCATTGATGTCTCATTTTTTCACCTCTAATTTTATTAATTTGGGTCTTCACTTTCTTTTGGTTCATTTCACTAAAGTTTTGTCAATTTTGCTTACTGTGTCAAAGAACCAACTATTTTGTTTCATTGACTCTTTGTATTGTTTTTTGTTTTTATTTCATTAATTCTTGCCCTGCCTTGGTTCTTTCCACTCATTGTCTTTTAGTTTGGCTTGCTCACATTATCACAAGACTCTAAATTACACTGTCAAGTTATTTATTTGGCAGCTTTCTGATTATTTTAATGTAGCTATAAAATTATCTTTCAGGATTGCTTTCGTTGCATCCCGAATCATTTACTGTGTTTTTGTAGTACTTGTAATTGAACCTAGGGCTTCAGACATACAGGGGAATCATTCTACTACTGGACTATGACCCCACCCCTTAGCTGTATTTGTAATAGAAAGACATATGTGCTCTTGCATCCTCAAAGCCTGGGGTTGGTGTCCAGCACCACATAAACTAGGCAATTCGGCTCAGGAACTCGTTATCCTCAGCTATATAATGAGTTTGAGGCCATCCCAGGCTACAAGAGATCCTGTCTCAATAAACCCAGAAAGTGAGAGGAGAAGGAGGAAGAGAAGAAAGAAGAAGAAAAATAAGTAGGAAGATTTAAGCTTGACAATCTATTTAACCCAGTATATTCAAACAGTATCCATTCAACACTAGCAGCATAAAATGACTAGCAGGGACTAACACTAAGGCTCTAACATGTGATGTGTTTTCTCTGCTGTCAGCACCAAATTCTCAGTGTTTTCATAGGGCCACCACTTCAGACAGCATAGCTATATGGTACCCTGTGGTCCTGGGTACCATGCATTTCAAGTGACCCTAACCTAAAGAAGACTCATGGCCAGGATCTTCCTCATACAGAGGCTACCAAAAAGGTTTTGAAAGTTAATGTCCCAGAACCTGTGTGAAGCATCTGAGGAAATATGTGAATTCATTCAAGAATGTGTGGAAAGGTTTGTCACATGTTACACAATAGCATTCAGTCAATAACCTACCCATACAATGGTGTATACTTTGTAGCCTGGACATGTTGTCTGTTGTAGGCTAGACCACCTAGGTTTTGTACAAGCATGCAATGTGACATTCATACCACCATGAAGTCACCTAAGCCTGTAACTTACATCTGAGGAACAAGGAGTTATATTCCATCCATTTTAAAGTAGTTATCAACACGAATTCTTGGAATTTTTCTCTTTAGGAGATTGGCCTCTTCTTTCCACGTATTAATTTATTGATCATTTATTTGCATTTGTGTGAACTTGTGAATATCCCTTCTGTACTCTGAGCCATACAGAATTGACTGTTTTGTTTTGTTGTCCTGACCATTGCAGCTTTAACCACAGAGAGCTCTTCCATTTACTCAGTAACATTTGGTGTAGTACATCACCACACAGAGAAGACTGAAAAAAGTCCTTCCAAGATGTCTATCCCTGGCTTCTGAGTTTCACCCGGACTCAGACCCCTTGGTTTTGTCTGGGTCAAGTCTGGGAAGACTAGCTAAGGTCACCCTGTCACTTTTCCCAGAATCAGACAGTGTAGCTAGATGTGTGAGATCCTCGTGTGTGAGCCTCTCCGTGTTCTGAAAGCTCAAAGCCAAGGGCAGGCTAATTACATACCTCAACACACACCCAAAAAAGACATCTGAATGGCACTGTCTCATAATGAAGGGGTTCAAGGCTCCATAAATAGTGCTCCCTTAGTCCTTGACCACCTTGGATATGAATTAGAGCTTCCCTATGCCACTGGACATGAACTCACTACCCTGCCCCTCCCTGGTGCCCACAGACCATCATCAGAAATCCATGGAGGACCCTGAGATCAGGGTCTGAGAACACTTACATGGTCCCCACAAACAAGGCTAATTGTGAAGGGCCACTCGTGACATGGCATCCTTCTAGAACCTGGGAGACAATCCAACAAGCTTTACGTTGGTTATGGATCACAAAGGAGAGTTGGCATGTGGGCAGCAACTACACAAATACTCTTCTCCCCTGGGGACAAGCTTGAAAAGTAATCTGGAAGGAATTAATAAAAACTATCACCCCAAAAGAAGTGCAAGTGTCCTGAAACTTTGACCAGGGTCTAACACTTCACATTCCAGAATGCTCTGGCAGGCAGCTGGGTTTCACTTGTTGCAATATGTCCATGGGTTAAAGGTATAATTTGCTTATGGGTGGGGGAGTGATTTCAAATTTTATCTCAGTGGTGTACTCAGTCATTCGGCCACTCAAATCAAGGGTATATTTCAATATTCCCATGACATAGAGCAAGCTGCCTGTGCTAGCAAAGATATGACACAATTTTTTTTAAAGTTCAACCTCTTCCTCTTCCCAAAGTCATTTCAAAATAAAGCTTTTCAATAAGATATTTCAAACTTATAAACACACATATCCTGCAACCTCTCAAGTACCTGATTCTTATGACATAGGCACCACACATCATTTTGTTACGAAGATTTGATATAAAACATCCCAGAATCCCCTGAAGCCTCTAAATATGGAGTAGTTACTTTTCTCATCAAGGCCACAAAATACCTGACAGAGACAATTGAAGGGAGGACATAGGCATTCGGACCCACGGTTTCAGAAAGCTTTTTGTTCACCTTGGTGGGACGGCAGACACATGTGACAGAGGCTTGCTAGAATGTCAACTGACCAGGAAGTAGAGCTAGAAAGCCAGTGAAACAGAGAAGCAGGTCTGACCTTCATAGGCTAACCATCTACTGACATACCTCTGTCAACCAGGCTTCAGTCTTGAAAAGATTCGAGCCTGGAGGTGTCACGGGTCAAATAGTAACAGCCCAGCTAGCTCAATCGGGAGAGCTTGGGACTTTTAATCCCAGGGTTGTGGGTTCGAGCCACACGTTGGGTGCCAGATATGGATGCATGGATGCAAGTTCCCACTCCAAGGATTCACCCAGGCTGCTCTCTGTGACCCTACTGGAAGGAAGAGAGAGCAGCTTGTCCCCGACCCCAGACCTAAAACCACCGTCCGTCACGTCTGAACCTGTGACCACGCTCAAACAGACATGGTCAGCACCACAGGTGTGGGCAGGGTGGATATCTCTCTACGACATCTTTCTCGTGCTTTGTGTCCACTGCCTCACTTGCTCTCATCCATCACTTTTCATCTGTGACTATGCACTTTCTCCTTTCCCTTTCATACCCCAGTCTGCATCAGGTTGTCCTGGGAAGTGTGTGGGAGGAGAAGAAGGTATAGAACATGAGCTACAGAGGAGGCTTCTTACAGAACTGTTAGGAAGGACAGTGGCTCCAGAACAGACAAAGACAGAGTGAGGAGCCGAGATCCAGGGTCTGACTTGAAGAGACAGATTTCAGCCTTCATAAGACCACGGCAGGTGCATCCATCTACCTCAACTTTATTTTTCCTAAGCCCTTTCCTCGTAGCAAAAATGATTAAATCAGGTTTATTTTCCTCCTTAGGGACCAAGAAACTGGGGAAAGGCTCAGAGTTAGTAGCATGGCACTGGGAATGCCACTGGCAGAGCACTCCATGATCAGGCTGCCCACTGCCATAAAGGGCTAGTGCTGTACTGGGTGGTACCAAGCATGTAAAAAAAATGTGATAAATTCCAGTAAGCTTTGGCAGGCATCTGGGTTTTGGAATTTCACTTTTGGGAGCTCCACAGATGTCTTAATTAGTGCTATGTGGATGATTGCTTTGGGCAACAGAGACTGAACCAAGCCATAAACAGAAAGGGGGATGGGATAAGACCCCAAATCACACCTATTTGCTAAATTTACATCTGAACTAAATTTAACCTTTTTATAGAACCCCGAATGAAATCAGCCAAATATGTCTTGTGACACTAGCTCCCTCCTACCCATCATGCAGTTGCTATCTTCACGTGAAGGAAAGGGACCCTGGACCAAGTGAGGTCATGAGTGTTGAGGTACCATAGCACATTCATTCCCATGGACCTTTCTGAAGGATAGCATTAGCTTCATTTGATACAGAGAGGTATTAGGACTCAGAGAAGTTAAGCAACCTGTACAGGGTAACAGAGCCAGGAAACACTTTATGTGGACAAGCTTTGGTTAAATGTGACAGGAAGCAAACATATGTTCCTATGGCAGCCTCAGCTGTAGTTATGTGTTGGATGGACTGGTTCAGATCCCAGGTTACCTGGTAAATCCAGAGGGAGTGAGGAGGTCAGGAAACAAATTCAGTCACAGTCTCCAGACTCAAACTTCTAGAAGAATCTGACAGTATTTCTAGGGAACATCCTCTCAGAGAGTAATGTACCTTGCTTGGCTTGCGGTACCATTTTGAAGACTATGGGACCTTTAGAAGGTGGGGCATGGCTGGTAGGTTGTGAGCCTAGCCCTTTACTGCTGAGCTATCCCTCAGCCCCTATTGGATATTTCTAATCACAGTGTGTTTTTGGATATTCGACTGTACAGTGAAAGTCCAAGGCCGATTGTTAATAAAATTAACCTTGGATCAGTGGGTAGAGCCAGTGACTAGTTGACAAGAATGAGCCATAGAGAGTATGGAGGACCCAGCAATATGGATAGAGAGACACAGGAATGAGAGGAAGGGACTTAGAGATTCGAGGACTTTTTGGTTTGGGATAAGTAGAGACACTTTTCTTGCTTCGCCTCTGGCCGAAAAGGAAGGTGAGCTGGTTGCTTCTTGGCTCCTCTGATCTAGCAGGTTTCCACCCCAACATCTGACTCCTGAGTTTATTGGTAAACAGAACAACTTAGATGAAGACAACATTTGTTGGTCAGCTGGTGCCAACAGGACAGAAATCCTGCCAGGCCACGGTCTGGGTAGCAGGGTGCTGACTTCAGGCCATGAGGAAAAGACAGTAGCTAAAATATCAGTAGATTCAGATACAGCTCCTAAGCAGACAGAAAAACAAGTGACATGAACGAAATGAATACACAGAGTGGTAAAAGCCCCTCCAGTCAGGAGTGGCACTGTGAGAAGGTGTTCACTTAGGTAGGTAGCATTGTGCATGTCAGGGTGAAAGGGTCACGTGACACAGAAGAAGCAACTACTTTTCTTCAAAAAGAAGGGTATTTCCTGGGCCAGTTTGCTCTGGGGGCTTCTGCACCCTTCCCTGTGGCTGCCAGGAGGCTTCAAACTCCACACATTTCTTCCCCCATACAGGTTGCCCAGGTCAGAGCCTCAGCCTCCTCAGCCTCTCCAGCCTGCAGATACCCTCATACAATCTCCACAGACCTTGCCATATCTTCTAGTATCAACCTGCATGGGAGCTAACTGAGTAAACCCAAGGCCCGTGCAGAGGCCCTCTTCCTCCCCTCTCAGTCAGTCAGAAGAACCAGTTTAGTCTTGTTTCCTAACTGTTCCCCAGTGGGAAAACAAAGCACGCCAACCCCAGAACTTGGGTTTTGTTCTCAGTGCTATTAAGGAAGGAAAAAAAAAAAGCATTTGTTTTGAGGTGGAGCAAACTGGTGCAGCTTGTTCTGGTTTTTTTGGTTCAAGGTTCAAGCCAAGTCCCTGCTCCAGACAGAAGGAATGTCCCTGGAATGCTTCTTCCAACTAGGGCTCTCAACAGCTGACAGAGCTGGGTGTTCAGACGGAGGCCACCTGCTCTGCAGACACCCAGGGACTTCCCTGCAGCTCTGGTGCTGAGGGCAGAGCTAGGCTGTACACATGGCCCCGTTCTCTGAGCCGTGCCACTACCTCCTGCCGGTAGAGCACTGCCCACACATTAAGCAGCAATGCAGCTGCATGCCTTTAACCAAAAGGATGGGGCATGAGGAGTCAGGGTCACTGCACAAATCTGCCAGGGTCTCCACAAGCCAACACAGCACCTGGGATTTGAAAGGAGGTGTCCACAGCCTTGACCTGCCAGAGGAGACCCTTTACAACTAAATAGCATGGTTTGGTGACACAGGAAACACAAGGCATGTGAAATGTGTGGAAATGACCCCAGGGGATCCGAGTCAAGCCAGCCTGCACTCAACAGCTCCAGCAGCAGCTGGCTGAAGGGGCCCAGTGATGCACATACCCAGGATTCCTTTGGTCATCTCAGGTTCAGATCTGTTGTAGGCCACTCAGCAATTGGGGGGAGGTGGTATCATCCCCAGGGATGGCCCCAGGAGACAAAGCAGCTGGATAACCATGCTATGAATCACCAACCAGGAATTCTGAAAGGAAGATGTGTTCCCATTCTGCCTCACATGGGAATCTGCATATCGAGGGATGTACAAGACCAAGCAGGGGATTGATGGAGCTTGCCCGGAGTGATGGAGAAGGGCTGTCCACCTCCAGCCAACCAGAGCTGTCACACACGAACTGGTAACAGACATGAACTATAGCAGAGGGCTCCTGCCCAAACACCTCTGTTTCTTGGGGTTCTTTCTTTTCTCTCCTATGCCATGCCTTTTAGCCAACCCAACAAGAGCTTTACCAAAGGCAATCTTGGATTCCAGATAACCCAGTGCCTCTATCCAGGAGACAGGCCATGCTTGTTCTCTTTTGGCCACGCGGATAGAACAGGCTGCCCGAGACACAGCCCAGAAATATTTTCTTGTGCCGGCCGTCCAGGAGGGTTAGAAGCCAACACGTGGGATTTCAGCTGGGAATGCTGTGTGTTCGACTCTGCTTGCTCTATGCTGCATTCAATTAGAGGCTTCCTTATACTTGTGTCTTCATTAATTCTACACTGCAGCGTGCAGGGGTGGCTGTCAGCTCTTAAAAAATGTGCTGATCTCCCAGCCAAGGATTCAACATTGTCCAGATCTGTTGAGAGGGAAAGAGAAGAGGGAGAGGGAGAGAAATGGGTATGGCATTGATTCACAAGTCCCCAGCTCTAGTTATATAAAACTAATTAATGCAACCTAAGATAATTGCTTCCATATCCAATATTCACAGAAGTCAGAGAGGGGTGAGATCACTGTAGATCTAGGCATTCTGGCCTGGTAACAAACATTTGGCTACAGCCAGTCATAAACCAGGGTCCATATACACTTCAGAGACCCCCCACCTCCAGCCAGCCAGTTAACAACACACAAAGGTCACCTCCTTTTCAGGGGCAGAGATGGCCTGGCCCCATCCATGGAGTTTCACAACCTATTAGTAGTTCTTGGGACCACAGTTCCCATTGTGTCTGCAAGTGGGTCTGAGTGCCTAAGGTATGTACGGTGGAGGACAGAGCTCAGGTGAGCATGTAGCATCCTCACACAGCTGCAAAGCCATGTCAGAGAGGACAGGGATGTGGGGAAGGTCTGTAGATCTTCAGGAATGGTTATGAGAGGAAAGAATGATGCTAAGAGTTGGCACCATGGGGAGAAAAAGGTAGACCTATTCTGTGGGGGTGGAGGGAGTGAAACCATGTGGACCAATTCACAGATTCAACTCGTGGCTCTATGTGTGAGATTGACACTGCTCTGTTTCTTGCTTGGTTGAACCCAAGATCCTTTGCAGTTTCCTCTGTCTTCTGTAGAATGACCTTTCTATCCTGGCTTTGTTCCACAGGCAAACATTAAGCCTGACTTGTGTGGCTTACTGAGACCTCTCATGGAAACATTGCTTGTCCCCCACCCTCAGACAGCTTCTGCTGATGGGTCCCCACCCACTCTCCCAGAAGAGATTCTCAAGCCATGTGTGATGACATGTGCCTTCCAACTCAGCCCCCCAGGAGGCTATGGAAGGAGGATCAAGAAGTCGGTTCTCGTCTAGGCTACAGAGTTCTTATCTCATAAAACAAAGAGAAAAGATTTTGTAGGTATCTGACCTCCACCTCTTGTCCACCACAGCTCCCCATGTACGTGGGAGGATAAGACTGATTATGGGGTTGCACAAGGAGACCAACACAGCATCCAGTGGCTGCTCTTGTCTGTCTTGTGCAGGTTCACAGAAAGTTAGGAAACACG